GTTTTATGTTTTTATTTTTGTTTATTTAAACATTCTGCTTATATATAAAATTCAACAGAAAGGAAACTTAAATTTACAATCAGAAGGAGATATGAAATTTCTGAAACACTTAATGAGGAAAGAGGGCCTAGAGAATTTAACTTGCAGAAATGGTAAGAGTACCAGGAAAGGACAGCAAGTACATTATTTAACAACTTTATGTGAATGGATAGAAGAACAGGGACAAAGGGTGATGGTAAATAAAATCTAAAATTACTTCAAGCAGCTAAATACAGAAGAGTATGGAGAGCTAAAGTGTAGACATTTGACTCATAAAAACTCTCAGATTAGCATATAATTTTCTATCTTGTCATCATAATAAATAAGTAGGAATTATTATAGGAAAGAATTTCCTTTATTGTTTCTACGACAGCCTTTCAGCTAATTCAATCTACAGTCTTTTTTAGATATATAATCCTTAAAGGACGATAAAAGGTGACAGAACAAAATTTGGTGTGTTATAGACAAAAATCAAATTAATCATAGATATGATTTGCTTCTTCATCGATATCCCTTCAAGACTTGGGTTTGTCTTTTGGCTATCCCTCCTAATCCCTGCCCTGCCAACCATTTACACAAGCTCACTAGGTAGGTTATTCTCTTATTTTCAAACAATAAACTTTTAGGATTCTGTGATATATAAGGTAATCAAAAAAAGCAAGCCCATTTTTGATTCATTAGAAAAAAATGTATACAGCAAATCTGACATACTGTTACTCCTCAAAGTAATCCCCATCAGCATCTAGAACCTTTTGCCAACATTCCTCCAGCTGTGTAATACCCTAGCAGTAAAAATCAGGTATCTTGGACACAAAGAAGTCTGTGAGTGCCTGCCACAAGTCTGTTTCATTTGCAAAGAATTTCCCACAAAGGTGGTTGTCCAGTAAATGGAATATGTGGTAATCTGTTGGTGCAAGATCTGGGGAGTAAGGTGGATGAGACAGTGTCTCCCAGCCAAGTTGCCATATGGTATCTCTGGCCACCCATGTCATATGAGGCCTGGAGGAACAGTACACCCTTGCAATTAACCAATGCTGTCTCCTTTTTCTTCTGTTCATGTTGCACATGTTCCAACTGCTGTAAGTACAGGTTCACAATGGTGGTTTGGTCTATTGGTAGTAGATTATAGTGTACCACTTGTCAACTAGTCCACCAGATACAGAGCATGAACTTTTGTGGGTGTAAAGTGGGTCCTGTAGTGACAACAAATGTCTGGCACATTTAGGAGTGTCATACAGGACCATCATTTTGTCACTGATGAGCACTCAATTAAATATGAGTACATTGTGGTGCTGTGAAAGCAACAAGAAAGCTGTTACTTGTTGCTTTCTGACACTGTATAGGGTACCCATTTGCTCAACTTGTACATCTTGTCTGTGGTGCAGGTGAAGTTTGACTGTTTCATCAGAAACTTAGAAGCATTCAGCAATCTCACCAGAGGTTTGGTTGTTGCCCTCCTCTATGGATGCTTTCAGGGCCTCATCACACAGGACCTGTGGCTGGCCACTGCAGAGTTCAACACACACAGACAGATCTCCTAGCCTGAACTTCTAGAACCAATGCCTGGTGATATGTTCAATCACAGCATTATCCCCAAAGGCTTTACATATTCATCAACTTGATGCAACTGTGGACAAGCCTACCTTAAAGTCATTTAAATTTTAAAGTCATTGGTCAAGAGCAATGCCCCCACTCACACCACACATGACACACTCATTTACATATCAGTGATCACTTCTTATACAACATAAAAAACGGCAAAGACTTTTTTTGGTTACCTTATAAAGTAGGCTTCTGTTTATTTTACATCTTTGCCAGCCTGTGTCTATTTTGGGTGTAGAGAATTTAAAAGTATATACATCAGGAGAATCAGTTTACAATTTATATTTAAAAGAAGTTGTTATTTCGTACTAGTTTTTCAACAAAGTATAAAAATGTAAGTGTAATTAAAAGGTAAAAAGCTTAGCAATAAGATGAATATTGTCACTTAATAGCATAATTTCTTTACATTTATAAATGAAAACCCATCTGTCATTAAGTAAAAATTTACATATTATTTCAGTGTTATGGAACCATTTTTATGTTTTACAGATATTCTTCAACTTTTCAATTTTATATTAATATAAGTTTTATATGTAAACATTTTATATTTATTTCAACAATTTATATTTTTAGGGTCTTTTTTTTTTGAATAGTGGTTGTAAAGCCCTTTTTTTTAAATAAAATGAGCTCAATTAGCATTTATTTTTGATGCACTCTAAGAAGGAGAAATGAAAAAAAAATCTTAATGCAAAGGAGAGGAACTTTTTACCATATAGTAACATTTGAATAATGACTATGCATAAAATATTAAATTTTTAAATTACTTTCCTCAACTAAGTAGTAAAATTAAAACTTTTTAAATATACAATTTTAATGACAACAAACCTTTGAAAATAGCATTATACTTCTGGTGTTCACAAGTTTCCTGCTGAACAAGGTTATCTTAATATATATTTTCTTCTCATTGTCATTGCACCTCTTTCAACATGCCAACAGAATTGGCTGTAATTAAATTAATTCTACCCCTTATTCTAGTGTCAGTTTTTAGATTAGTACTACAGAAGGATGCTAAGAATACCATGGACTAAACGTGTGAGCAACGATAAAGTTTTAAGCAAAATTGATGCAAAAATACATACTTAGAATCAGAGACAACTGAAATTTATAGGGTACATAATGAGGAAAGAGGATTTGGAGAGTTTGACATTCACATGACATATTGAACAGGGATTATTTATAATTCAACCCAGAAAATAAAACAGGCACAAACTCTAGTTGTTTTGTTAAATTTAGATTTCAAGCCCAAACTGGCCAATACATCATATGCAGATAAATATTGAATTTGTTGACCAGTTCTAAGTGGATGAAGGTTTATATTGATTACTTGTCATTTGGCAAATTCTGAATTTAAAATTTGGTTTTGATGCTTTTTCAATATAACTGGCAATATATGGCCTGGCCTCTATGTGGATATTTTCGTTTTTCTAACAAATTTCTTTCCAGATAAAGCTTCATAAAATTATTTATATTTTGTAGCAATTATGTTCTATTTTTGTTTTTTTACATTTACAATAAAGAGCATAAGATATTTGTCCATTTGCTAAACTACAATTATGACCAGAAATATTCAAAGTGGCTAAATGTATGTTGGCATTATAGGTTTTATAAATATAACATGTACTGAATACATTATGCTCATGTCAAGAAAGACATGTCAAGTTACTGGATGGCTAGTTTGAACAGAAAAATAAAAATATCTTTATACATTGTTGAGAGATATTTTCAAAACATTGCCAACAAACCAAAATGCAAATCTAACAAAACAGACAGCAACTGTCTTACACTTGGTGAAATTCAACTCCAGTTTTTTATTCATCAAATCAAAGACGCATACTTTTTTCTTTTAAAAAAAAAAAAAACATACTTTTTTTTTCTCTACAATGTAGTACAGAGACTCATTTTATTTGATTATCTAGAATCTATGTACTTTGTAGAACTTTAATCATGTTATTCCAAACATATATTCAAGGTGCAGCAGGTAATTGAGAACAAACCATAAAAGAAAAACAAAGATATCCAATAGAAAAAAAAAGTATATTTTCAAAAACAAATTTGCACACACATTCTAAATGACAACTTTCAACAACTTGGTATTTTGATGCCATTGGTTGCTCTAATTCTGTGATGTAGTAATCTAGGAAATTCAGTTTAGAACTAGGAAGCCACATATTGAAGCTGATATTCTCAACCAGCCACTCCTTGGTCATGTGGGCCATTTGAGAAGGAGCAATTGAGCTGGAATATACATGAATACCCATTCAGTTTAGTACCTGGTAGCCACTATGTCTATCACTTCTGTTTAGATGGTAGCATTAACTCTCAGTCCTTGTGGGTAGGCTGAGATGACATGGTCATCATTACTCACAACCCCTGGGACCCTCATAGACATAGTGCTTATCACTATGGATAGCTATGCTGAGTCAGCACAGAACTACCTGTCTTCCTCCTGTAGACATAGCCACTTTTCTAGAAACTGGCTACTCTCAGTCACTATAGTTGGTGGTGATTGCCATTAACATAAGCACAATGTGCTATTTTCATTTCCTATGTCAGATTAGAAGCTGCTATGATAAAGCTCTCAACATGTCTGAAAGAGAAATGGTTAAACATGCCTGCAATAAGCCAAGAATGGTTTTTTTTTCCCATGAGACCACTTTCTTTAACTACCTTCACTCTTCAGCAATGTTTATTATTTAATAAATATTAATATTAAACACTATTGTATTCGAGCTAATGCAATGCAATATTTATCATTTACTAATTTATAAATAAATATGAAAACAAGTTTTATTCATAAATTTATAAAAATTTACTAAATTATTAAAATTTGTTAACCGACTATAAGGAAATCCTTATTATATTATTTTTCTAAAGTTTGAATTGATTGGCAATTAGCTGATGTTTTGCTAACCATTCCAATAAATAATATAATGAATAGTGTAAATAAATAATCTAATAAATAAATGGTGTTCATTATTTTTGTCATCAATTCTCAAGAACAAAGAAAATGTATAAATTCACTTACATCATATGTTTAAGTTTTATTCCAATTCTAACATTGCTTTTTAAAATAAACATTGCAGAGAAGTGAAGTTAGTTAAAACAGCTAATGTCATGGGAAAAATTGTCCTTTTGACACGCCATCTTATTGTGGGCACAAAGCTCCATGTTTGCCAAGAAATTAAAATGTTGGTGTGCATGCCATATGACATTATCTTCCATTTATAGCTTGCTGAATGTGTGTTCTCAAATACCTGGTACATACTGAACAGCTTGTATAACCAAAATATTAGTTATACACAAAAAGTATTAAGATGATTGCTTGGTTTAATTCTTTTGTATTTCTTTCTTTTTTATAGTCACCCTTTGATTACAAAACTGTTTGAATTAAAGACGTCTCGCCCTGATTTAGCCCAACTGTTAGTCGAACAGGTAAGAAATGTCTTTGCCTATATGTTCTCTTCCTTCCTAATTATACAGCACTCAAATTTGTCTTTTTTTTAAAATTCAATCCTTCAGCAAAACACATGCACACACTCCAGTTAAGGTATTTTTCATGCTATTATTTTAAAATTTAAATGTGCCAGTCAATAAATTAGTCTATCAATGTATATCTCTACATTTATGTATCACTTTGTCTAAATAATATAGCTCACATTTCTTTTAGACAACTTGATTGTCAATCTCCACTAAAGCATTTTCCTTGTCTATTTTTATTTGACTACTTGCTCACATAGATATAATATTAGACTCTTATATTTGTTTATTGCCCTCTCCACTTTAACCAGTTTACCAACTTATCTGTATTTACTGAACTATCTACTTTTAATTTTTACCTATCTTTAAAATAATAGTAATTTTTTAATAAAATCAAGCTAAATTTATCTACAGAAGACTATTTTGAAAAAATCTTGTCTAATTTTTTGTTGATGCTAAATTCCCAAAAGAAATCAAGACAAGCTGAACAAATTATTTTCAGATATTAACTTTTAGGAAAGAAAAAGAAACAGAAAAAAATCAATTAAATTTTAGCAAAAAAATTTGTCATATTTTTCTTTAAACTAAAATTGAAAAAGAGCTGAGTATTTGAAAAAAAATATTTTGGCTGCTCTTTTAAAATATGATGAAAATTTTACATTTAGTTGAAAAAATTAATTGAAGTGGTAATAGTTTTCAAAATACTCCATTACTTGGGGGGGAAAAAGGGCAAAATGTAAATCAGTGTAACACTTAACAAAAAGTAACAAGTGGAGATAGATTTTTAAACTTTAAAGTAAATGCAGTCCTGTTGAAATGTAATAAAAATTAAGTGTTAAATTTAGTTTTCATTGTTTTAAATAAGTTTAACATAATATTAGTTGAAAAAAGAAATGACCCCCATGAAATAATTACAAAAGTTAAACACACACACACACATATTCCAAAGCTGACTTTAGTCCAATGTTTCACCAACTCACTTCCAGATCAGATGTTTGAATCAGAGTAGGTTTCACTTAATTTGATGTTTGCTTTAGCATTTTATAACCAACCAACCAAAAGCATGACATTGGCTTTTATATAATAAGAAACTATTATTTGATTATGTTGTTATAGGGAGGTTTTCATTAAAGGACCAACAGTATATGTGCTAATTTTATATCTCATGTATGATGCAAACCACTTAAAATTAGCTTCAAAATTAAGTCTTTGAAAGTTACATGATAGATGAGTATATACAGTAAATATCTCATAAGTGTCTAAATACTTTCCTTACCACCACTGTATGTATAGTGTAATCATTACAATAGTTATAAAACTAAGTGTTAGAAAAAGAAAAAAAATTGGTAGTCAAATATTAGTCTTTTATATGTGAAAATATCCAACAATCTTAGGTTGCAGCATGAGATAGAATAACACTCCTCCATTAAAAATCCTGCTGGCTTTTAATGATAACAAACTGATTGTTATTTATGTCATAGTAGAAAGAAGTTGCATGTTGAAATCTCAAATTTTACTTTGTAACAATACATCAGTTAAATTCTTTTTAACCTTTTTCTCATAAAATATTTTAATCTTTAAAAATACACAAAAGAATATTACATCAATTTAATGAAGGTATGAGACTGTGCTTTTCCAGGCCCAAGATATTAACATGTGACAACCAAATCACTGCATGAAAACATACGCTATAGCTATTTATGTACACTAATAAATAGATTAATTATTGTTTCAATAAGATGGATTCATACATTAATTATATTATCAAACCTGTACATATAAATATAGTTAAAAGAAAAGAGAAGTTTGTAAATAGAAATGTTAATATATATCAAACTGATTTTTGTATGACACATTTATATATTTTCTTCATGTGTGTATATTAATGGACTTATATATATATATATATATATATATATATATATATATATATATATGCACATCCTAGTATGCACACAATGTAAATAGGATATGTTTCAGTAATGAATCATGTATTTTTAAGCCAGCCAATAACAGTATTGATGCCTTTCTTTTAATCACAGCCTCATTCTCTTAATATAACCTATTGATTGCTCTCTACTACTTGGGGGCAGTATTGAGTAAAGACTGTCAGATCTCTCAGCATGTTTTTGCCTGGTCTGTTAGTAATAGGCATGATACAAATAGTCTTTAAGTAAAGCAGTTACTTCACTGCCAATAGCCACTGTCTGCTTTTTTTTTTACATTTGCTCTTTTCTTTATCAAATAGAAACCCTTTAGGCAGCAGTCCTTCACTAATGCATGTTTCATCAAAAATGACTTAGAAGGTAATATTTTCTTGTGTGCAAACAAGAGGTTTTGGGGAGGGACTTTATGGAGAAATTTTCAAAATGATTATTCATTCTAAGCACATTTAACTAAATTATTAATCATTTTCCAGGAGTTTGGTTCTGTTATTGTAAATGCATGTAAGTTACTGAGAGGTAGACATATTTTTAATTCCTAAATAGGGCCCATACATTAAGGCCGTGTTCATAGTTGATGTGTTAAGCATTGTTTTTTTTATGATGAGGGCAGCTATTATTCTTGCAGTTAAAGGTATTGTATTATTATTTTTATTTTTTTTTTTTGATGAGTATGCTGTGTATCAAAGTTAATAAGTTTTCATGTTAATTTAAATGGGCCCTTATAGAACTATGATCTGAGAGATGTAAAGTTAGCCATCTTGACATGATTAAATTATTCATGGATTTGTTTTAATTAAGAACACATTATGGAACCTTTGAATTTATATATGTTAGTCTTGTATAGATTGGATTTTACTGGAGAGTTGTTGATGATGATAAGGCTGTTTTTTTTTTTTTTAATTGTAAATAATTTGATATTTATATTATGTTCAATAATATTACTTAGAACAAATTTATTTTGTTATGTGCCTGGTTTCAATATAATATATTACTGCTATTATCTCTAAACTATGTTATTAATTTTGGGAGAAATAATTTCATTTTGCTGTTTATATTGTAGTTGGGGAAACTTATTGACTTTTTTGTTACTGAGTTATATAAGGAATAATATGCACTCTCTACATTTTTAATTTTATTAACTGAGATGGCAACAGTTTTTACTTGTGGGACTCTTTATATAGTGAAGTAGTAAATGTATTATTCTTGGATTCTATGAGAACTGAGATATCTAGGAATGGAATATTGCTGCTATTGCTATGTTTCTAAGTAAATTTTAGAACCATTTTTGTTTTTCAAATGTAGTTTTAAGTTTTTCAATTATTTTTTTCTTTTTTATTGCTGAATAGATTGGAAATATCATTTACATACCAGATATAAATTTTAGGTTTTGTAAGGTTTTTTAACAACTTTATTTTTGAAATGAGACATATAATAACTAGAGAAGAATGATCTAAGAGGACTGTCTATACTAACTCCATTTGTTTTGAGTATGGATTTTGCCATCATATGCATAAAAAAGGAATTCAGTTAGATTAGCCAAAAATACTCTGAACAAACAATCATTTAGACAATTTCTACACTCATGCTAAATCCGAAAAAAATCTCTTGTTTGCATACAAGAAAAACACAATAAAAAACTTAATTGATGTACATTGTCAGTCATTTTTAATGAAATATTCATGTGTGTGTGTGCACACACACAGACACACTATTAATCATGTTTGTGCATACACACACAACACACAGTTTAGATCTTAGCTTCCCATATGTATCATTTTAAAAAAATATATAATTCATAATTGTATGTAGTGCTAAACATTCTATTTTCATTATTTTTAAAAATAAAAACTTACAATACATTTGATTGTATACAGTAATATGAATTATAAAATGTATATATGATAGGTTGTTTTGACTAAATTTCTTGGTACTTTATGTTAGAAACAGTGTTTTCTTTCTTTTTAAAAAAGCAGAAACTTCTATTTTATCCTCTAAGGATACAATTATGTTAATAGAAGAAACAGAATATTTACTTTTTATATATAATTAGCAGTCAAGTAGAATCTTTATTCACTCAAGCAAAATAATGAAAACTGAAACTGATATTTTATGAAAGTCTTTTACTCTATACAGGTAATATAATGGTTTATTTTTAAGTGAAGAGGAAATAACTCATAGGAAAAACATACATTATGTAAATATGAGGACAATTAAACATGCTTAGGTAGAAGAAATTGTTTTGTCAAAAATTTAGCTAAACCCACAATGTCTGAAAGACTTTGCTAATGTCATTTTAAGAAGAAAAAGTTTTTTACATTCCTTAGCCCAGTGAGTTTTGGTGATAATAATGTGGCTGTTACTCATTATACTATGACAACATGAGTTGGCCACTGCATACTAATAGGGTACTGTCTGTAAGTAAACAGCTCTCTTTTGGTTTTAAAATCTCAGTTCTGTGTTTCTAATAAGCTATATTTAAGCAAGTACTGCATCTAATCACATTGGCCTTCTTTTCCACACTGACCAACTTTGTTCTACTTTTGAATGCAAAAATAAGTTATATGCTCAAAATATTGAAGCAGTTCATTGAAAGTTTTATAGTTGAGATACATAGAATTAGATTAAATACATTGATAGAAAAAAGTACATTTTTTCAGTATCAAGTAATTTGAGAGGTTATTTGTAATCAGCTTAAAATGAAATATTAATAAATGAAAATTAATTTTTTTCACATTTTTAAATCCGTTCAACAATTATCATTTTAAGATCAGTTGATTTAAGATGTTTTTTGAGTTTAACAAATGATTTCAAATACACAAGGCATCAATAGATTCCAATATTGAGGGACCAGAAATATTTGAAATTTGAAAACAATTTAGTGTATTAATATGTAGCATACATTACAAAATGATTGATAATTTTTAAATTTTTATAGCTAACACAATCTAGATTGAAAGTCATTTAAATAGGTATTGCTGAATTATTACCTTCAAAAGGTAGTTTTCAAAT